AATAATAAAGTGTTTAAACGACATCTTTACTTTTTTCCCAGCAGAGAGAGAAAGAACTACAGGAGAGAAATGAGGAACATGCAATAAGATATGGTTAATGTGCCTATTTTGTGGAACCCTCCTTTGTTACAAAGGATAATTTTTTGTTTGTTTGTTTTGTTTTGGCTAGGCAGTGGGGTTAAGTGACTTGCCCAGGGTCACACAGCTAGTGTTATGTGTCTGAGGCCAGATTTGAACTCGGGTCCTCCTGAATCCAGGGCCGGTGCTCTATCCACTGCGCCATCTAGCTGCCCCTACAAAGGATAATTTGACTGGGGACAGGAGCTAATTGAGAAATAAAAGTGGTGTGAAAAAATTAAGAGGCAAAAATAAAACATTAAGAAAGTAAGATGGTTTTTGTTTCAGACATCTACCAGCACTAAAGCTAAAGTACAATTTCCCAAAGCTAATCGAGCTGGTTATCATCTCCTGTTCAATACCGATCCTACAACATCATTCACTGGCCTTCATTCAGTTCAAGCTTTCTTCTAATGGACAAGTTCAGACAACGTTCTTCAACAAATCGCAGTTTACACAGTAACTATCTTCCTATCACTTGGTTTTCATTTTTTGAGTGATCACGACTCGTGCAGGAAGCTCTGGGTTGCTCCCAGCTTTGACACCAGCTGCCAAATGGAGGTCCTCATCACCTATACATGCAATCTCTCTGTGACATGACCTCTGCAGTGGATAGACTCCAGGGCTGAATGGCTAGCTGCACAAGCCGGAAGCCAGCAAGCTCCAGGAGCTGAGACCCTCCAGACACACCTGAAGCCTCCAGCCTCCAAGGGCACAGGGCAGAGAGCCCAGGACAACACTCTGACCACACAGAGGGAGGCTGAGAGGCAGAGAGGCTTCACAGGACAGCACGATGGTGACCTCAAATGGTCCAGAGGAAGGTCCCCAGGGGAAGGGGGTCACAGGTTCTTGCACTCAGAAAACCACAAACTGACATTATCCAGGCTGCCCTTCCATTAGGTTCGGGCTACAGGGCCACACTTGGGCATCTGGGACAAAAGGAAGCCACTGAGTCAGAGTCAGGACCAAACAAGGTCTGACAGCCACCTGTGAGACAGAGGTCACCCCCACACACAAGCCCAAACCAGCAGCGGAGGCTGGAGCTGCAAGTAGGTACAGGAAAGCACTGCACACACTAAAGCAGCATCCGAGTCCAGACATGCTTGTGAGACGAAAATCACAGGAGCAGAGTAACCCCACCACAGCTATCTGCACAGTCCCAGCAGAACAAATGGCTGCGCTGCCTCCACCACTAGGGCCGGCACCATCACCCCCCACCCCACTATCATTACTAGTAACACCACACCACCTCCTCTACTGCAACCACTACTAATGATAACAATAATGATTAGCATAATGTGGGGGACAACTGAAAGTTTCTCACATAAAATGGAAGCTATGCTCCAAAAATGTAGCAAGGCTTTAGCATGAGCTGGCCCTAAGTTTCACTTTCCTGTAAATCTTATGTTTGGGGGAAAATAAAGTCCTATACCAGCTGCCCCCCCCCTTGTTTTGTAACCACTACTCCGCCCTTCTCTTTGCCAAATAAGGCAATCTGCTAGCTTCCAAGCTTGTTTTGGGTAAAATGTATCTCTTAGTTCTTGGGTAAAGTGGTTTGTCTCTTACCTCAGCCAATGGGGATAAAGAGACTGCGGTAAACAAGGGGGGGGGTTCTTAGAGCTGTTTGTCTAAGGGTCTATAACCGCTGGTTTGCTGCTTGGATCCCGCCTCCCTACTCCAGTCGGCCCTGGGTAGGTGGTGTCTAATTCTCCCGCAACACTTGCTAGAAGAAAACTTATGTTTCTACTGAGAGAAACCTCCGAATTTTATTTGGGTAGGTGGTCTCAATCCCACTCACATACAAAGCACTTCTCATGGTTATCTCATGGGATCTTCACAAAAGCCTTGTATGGTAGGTACTCTTCTAGTTAAAGACTGTCTTACGTATTCAAGGGTATATATCTTGTTTTTTTTTTAAAAAATGAGGCTTGATATTACAAAAGCCACTGGAAAGTCTCATTGACAACTGTGAAGTTCTATGAGAAGCTGCCAGGTCACCTGGATTTTTGACCTTGACAAGTTATAAAATCTTACCAGCTTTGTGAAAGAAGCTGCAAGAATATATGACAATAATTTGGTTTAAAGTGGAACTAAGCTTGCCCTCAACCCCCAGCACACATTAACCTGCAGCCAAAAAAAAATGCAGACAGACGGGGGGGGGCAAGAGAAGGAAAGGAATTTATTAAGTGCCTACTATGTGCCAGGCACACAGTGCTTGCGTGACCCTCACAACCACCCCAGCAGGTTATCAAATGCAACATAAATACAAAATTTAATGTATCTCCATTTTACAGTGAGAAGACTAAGGCAATCAGAGGTGAAGTGACCTGCTTAGGGTCACAGAGGCCTTCCTCATTGTAGACCCAGCACTTTGTGTACTATGGCACCACCAACTGACTGAAAGTTAGCTTATAGTAATGATTTCTATGATGACCTGTCTGACCACTCATTATGAAATCGATAAAAACTGACTGGACAGATTGCAAATCAATTGTTGTATGTTAGAATTACATCTCTGAGCTAACTAGGGATCAAGAGACTCCGGTTCATAAGAATTGGTTCTGTTATTTTCTTTCCCCCTAGAAACTGATTAGAGAGTAAGATGTCCAGACTAACAGCAGACAATGCCCTTCTGGATTCTGAGTGCACTGCCACGCATTCACCTCTGTGAAAATTCCCAAATGAGCTGATTTTCTTAATTTCAAATGATTGTCTTATGCACCAGGATGTATTAAACTGGGGGGTGGGGGTGGGGGGGACTCAAAGCTTTTAGCATAGTCTTGTATAGCCACTAGCATCATTAAGCCTAAGGATGTAGGGATAAAGGACCCTACTCCTACATTTAAATTTTTCTGAATTTGTAGCCATTACTGGTCTCAACTTCCTAACCTAGGAAACTAGGACAAATCATTTCTTACACTTGCCATCTCCATGATCACTGGTCTACAAGTTATATGTTTGTGCATAAGCTTAGGTCCTTACAGTCTCACAGTCTTTCTGCCTGAATAACTCTTCCCTCTCCCATGATATAAAGATAAGGGGCAGCTAGGTGGCTCAGTGGATAGAGCATTGGCCCTGCATTCAGGAGGACCTGAGTTCAAATCCGGCCTCAGACACATAATACTTACTAGCTGTGTGGCCCTTGGCAAGTCACTAAACCCCATTGCCTAGCAAAACAAAACAAAACAAAGAAGCAAATGACAACCAATGCACTGATTTGCTCAGTCTGAACCTGTACATCTCATTCATGATATAAAGATAAAATACATCCTCAAATGCTTTCCTTCTACCACATCTCCCATTTTGATGAATGAATACTTGTCACAATCCTCCACCATACTGCACCAAAAGATTTTACAAACACCTCTATCCAAGGAAGCCAACGAACAAGTGACCAATCTGGAGCGCTAGGACTCGGATCTGACTCCCAACTCTGCCACTGCCCATGTGGGTGCCTGTGGTCGCCACTTCCCCAATGCAGTCTGTGGAGGAGGAGGCTTGGCCTAGAGGATCTCCGAGGACTGTTCCAACTATAATTTTTACAGGCAGGAGGCAGTCCCTGCTCCAAGTCTTCTCTCTGCAGACTAACCATCCCCGCTTCCTCCGTGTGATCCTCGCAGGACGTTATCTTCACCGTCCTGCCTGTTGTCCTCTGGACAGTCTGCAGTTCTCTTCTCAGTGCACTTGATGAGGAATATCACCGCCTTCTCCTTGGCAGCTCCCTAAAACAAACCCCTTCATTTTCCTCCGATTTTTTTCTGTTTCCTAACCAAGCCTGTTCCAGCTGACAGATTGTGAAGCTGATTCTGTGGGACTCTGGTGTAATACTGCACATGTACTGCAGGTACATTTTCTTTCCTTTAGCCCATAGTTCTAGCCTCTCAAGATCTCCCTCGATAATGATAACTTCTTCACCCTCTGCTACTGGACGAGCATGCCATCTATGCCCTAATCCAAGTCATGGATAAGAATGCTCAATGGTCCCAGGCCAAGCACAGGCACCAGGGGTATATCACGGCACATCTCCTGCCACATTCACAACGACTCTGAGTACAAGCAATCAAGCAGCTCTAAATCCCCCGACAGAATTCATTAATAGACAAGGAAACAAGACACACTGAAAAGGAGAAAAAGAGCAGCAGGATGGCATCTGGAAAGTGGCCCGGGGCTTTGAACACTTCACAAGATGCTCCCCCAGCAGAAACAACATGTTCCCATTGATGCGGTCTGATCTCTAGAGAAGGAGAATTACTGGGGGCCCAAAGGGCAATGGAGAAGCGCACAGTGTGTGGAAGGAGACTACGGCATCGTTCTAATGGTAATGTATAGGCAAGAAGTCATGAGTACTCTCTCTCGAAATTCCTATGTACATATGTATGTATATATGTATGTATGTATTTATTTCTGTGCACATTATATCCGCAGTAATCTAAGTTCCTGCAGGATATGAAAGGTTCGGATTTTTTGTCTTTCTATCCCTAGCACAGCACTGTACCAAATAGAACTTAGTGTCTGTCAAACCGAACTGAAATGAATCACTGAAAGACCAACCTGTTTAAATACAAGATCATCACCAATCCTGGTATTCAGTGATCTGTGATCGCATGTTGAGGGATGACCAACACTAACAGAATGAATAAATCACACTCTCTTAATAACGTAAACAACGTGCACTAGATCCTATTATTCTTGAAACTTGATTGTACTGCCAACTTTTAAAAGACAAAGAAACGAGAAGACAAAACTTCAAAGCTCCTCTTGCCCTGGTCATCACAAATCTCCAGGAGGACTCAGAAGTGTAACGGCTGGTCTACTCATTATATATGGATACATACAGATTTCACATTTAAATGCACACACATAATAAAATCAAGCTTTCTTACCAGTTGGGCAATGAGATGGCTTGTTAAGGATGCTGTGAGCCTGAGAATTAATAATAATCTCGGATGAAAATGTGGTCTTCTCTGAACTCTCTGTTGTTATTTGAGTGATGGCATCCGACAACAGCTTGAGAGAAGTAACAGTATCTGCATTCCTGAAGTGATCTGATGGTCCACTAAACACAAAAAATGCCACACATGGTGAGACGCAACAGTATGCAAAACCAGTTTGTGTCTTTGGAAAAAGTCTATTTCATAAAAAAGTCAAGGTCAAATTTGATGACATCAGCATCAAGAGGTTACCCCACCCCCCACAATCCTCTGTTACTCTCTCTCACTCCACTATTTACCCAAACCCTTCTTGACCCCATTCATTTGCCCCTTCAGACAATAAGCTGCAAAATGTATTTAATCTACATAAAAAGAAATATTTCAATGTGAACTGAAATTATCTTTTCTTAGAAACAGAATTCCAATTGATTAAAGAACCAAGACAGACAAAATGAGGGCTGAAAGTATTCTGGAGCAAACTGTTCCAGTTCCTCTATCACAAGACATAAATAATAAAATGTTACAAAAACACACTGGAAGTAAACACTCACTTTGTACTGGAGTGTTCAGGAGAAAGTGCTCTGTAAACTTTAAAGAGCTAAATAAATGCAAGTTATTATTACTTTTCATTAAGGATATGGCATCTGAGCTAGGATTTCAAGGCTATAGGCATGATTTTAATCTCACTCAGTTATCAAACATTTATTAAGGACTTTGTGAGCTCAGCACTATGCTAAGTGCTATCCTTGCCCACAAGAAGCTTCTGATCAAATTGGGATAGGGGAAGGAAGGCACAATAACATATGCAAATAGGTACTTGCAAGCTAATTAAATAGACCATTTAAGGTAACCTTACAAAAAAAGGCACTGGGGGGGCCTACCTAGACAGAAACGGCCTCCTTCAGAATGTGGTGTTAAAACCTCGAATCTTACAGAATGCCAGAGTTTCTAGCAAGCAACAAGCATTTTAATAAGAACCAACTAGGTTCCATGCACTGTACAATACACTGGGGAAATAAAGACCCCTACCCATCCCCCCCAAAAAAACAACAACAACTACAACAACATAGTCCCCACTCTCAAGGAGTTCACAGTCTAATAGGGGACATAACTTTCAAATAACTATGCACAAACTACACAAACAGGATAATTTGGAGAACCAGGGGAACCAAGAAAGCCTTCTTGCACAAAGCAGGATTTTAGGTGAAGCCTGGGAAGCCAGGAAACAGATAATAAAGAACAAGACTGCAGGCATGAGGGAGAGCTAGTGAAAATACCAGGATTTTAGGGATGGAGCTATTTGGTTGAGGAACAACAAGAAGGTCATGTATTGTGGGAGTCTAGTGAACCCCATGACTCCATCTTGTGACTCAATTCTAGATCTGGCTCTGTTCCCCTTTCTATTCAATTCTGGGTGCTGTCCAATTTCTGTCTTGTAAGAAAACAATTACAGGAATCTTAAGAAACATTCACCGCATTGTTTAAACCTTGCCCTGGACCACCTCTACTTGTTGCTTAGAGATCCTTAACTTAGAACTGAAGTTATGGTGACCAGAAACCCCATTAGATCCAAAGACAGATACAAGGAGTTTTTTAACAATTATACATCTCAAGCAATCTATGTGTCTTATTGGAAAAATGGCCATATACTGGTCAATCAGTTACTGTTTCCTTGTTCCTTTGACTGAAACAGACACTGTGGGGAGATGGGGGACAACACATCTCTTTTTCTGATTCAGGGAATTGTACCTGTTCGCTCTCTCCCCTCCCAACTCTCAAAATTCACTCACCCCCCCCTTCCAACCTGGAAAGCCCTTAATCTTTCCTGGATGTAGAATCAGATTATCTAATCTTGCATGCTGGTTTATATCCTGTTAATTGTTTTCTTTTCATGTATAAAAATCTGTTTCCCCCTGTATTTGGGGGCCACTGCAAAACTGAGGAAGGGGCCTGGTCCTGATTTGTTGGGGACTTGGCATGCATTGCTTCATAAACTGATATGCTCGAATCTTTGTTTCCTCAGTTATTTCAGATTTCACCCATCACAGTATCAATGGGTCACAAAGTCAGCAGAGGCAGGTAAGGTATAAAAAGACTGGAAAGGTAGGAGGGGGCCAGATTATAAAGAGCTCTAACAGGCAAAGAGATGATTTTTATATTTGATTGTGGAGGTGACTGGGGAGTCACTAGAGCTGACGGAATACAAGGGCTGACATGACCAGAGCCATGTTTCAGGAAGATCATTTTGATAGCTGGGTGGAAGATGGACAAGAAAGCAGAGACGCTTGAAACTGGGAGACCAACCAAAAGTCTACTACAATAGATAATAAAGGGTGGTAGCAATGACAGAGTCTCGAGAGAAGGGGGCATATCCAAGACATCAACAGACCGGTAGCTGAATGCACATGGGGACTGAGAACAAGCAGTGAAGGACAACACAGTGAAAGTTGACCACCCCATCCCCTGATGACTAGGGGAATGACAGTATCTTAAAGAGTAGCAGAGATTTCAAGAGGGAAGGGTTTGGTTAGGAAAGATAAGTTCAGTTTTGGATGTGATGAGTAAAGATGTCCATTAGGCAACTGGAGAAGTAAAAATGGGAGGTCAGGAGAAAGGTTAGGCCTAGATAAACAGATCTGATAATGTTAAGCATAGAAATCACCATCGAACCCATGGAAGCTGTTGAAATCACCAAATGAGAGTAAAATAAGAAAAGATAAGAGGACCCAGGACAGAATCTAATGTGTACAATTACATTTAGATTTCAATAAAAAAGATCAGGTCAGAGGAAGGGATACTTTAAGTAGTGAAAATGACACATGAAAAACAATGGAGATATGCATGCATGTGAAGCATTTCAGAGACAAGAAGCAATCTGGCTAAAGCAGACACTATGTGCTGGGAAGAAACAGGAAATGAGGTTGGAAAAGGCAGCTGGAACCAAACCATGGCAAGTGCTGGACTATGAAATTTTTACATTAGGAGATAGTAATGTGAATCTATTTTAAATTTCCAAGTGTATTCAGGAGCAGCAGCATCAATGCTATATTTTATGAAAATCAACCTGCCCCTAGCTGCAGGATGAAATGGAAGAACAGGCAAAGCACAGGACTAGTTATATGCAAATAGGAAAGAGCAAAAAACAAGGAAGACTTAATAGTTTTGAGCCTGGGTGACTAAATCATATAATTAAAATAACAATGAGCTGGGAACGTCAAGATAGCAGAATGAGAAGCAACAGAGCTTAGCTCCCCACAAATGCTAATCTACAATGGTTAAAAAATGTACCAGACCAAATTCTGATCAGAAAATCCAAGAAGCGAGTCATTTTTCTAGCCCAGGGAGGCAAATAGAAGGAACTACTGGAGACATATAAGATCTGGCCAGGAGAACATGAGGCAGCAGGGAGAATTCCAGTGGCCAAAGATACAAAGAGGGCTGAGAAAGGACACCACAGAAGGAAACACCAGACCAGAAAGAGATCCCAGGGGACCCCTGAAGTAGCTCTGGGTAGATCTGGCAGATCTGTCACTCATCACCTCACAGACCTAGGGTAAAGAGAAGTGCTCTCAAATGTGTTGGCCCCAGCTGTTCACTGAGCAAAGAACAAGTTGCAGAAATGTGGTTGTATGGGCTCTAATCCCAGGAGCAGAGCTGTGACTCAGTTCTAGCTTTCAACCCAGCACATAAGCCCACAATAAAACAGCCAGGAAGTAGTCTGAAATTAAAAGGGAGCCAGCATTTCATCTCTCCAAACCTGCAGAGCCTCACAGCAAGCAAACAGTGACTGAGTACAGAAACAATCTATAGAAACTCCCAAGGAGAGCCTCCAACCTGGGTCAAGAACTTACAGCACTCAGGGTCATGAAGAGGTGGACACCAATGATAGCATGAACAACAAAATTATTTGTTGCTGTTTCCTTCTAACCTTGTGTATATCTCTGTATTCAGAGATTCATTATTTGTTTACTTTTAAACAGGTGTAATGAAAATGTATTTTCTTCTGTGTTTTCTTCCCTCAACACCATTTTATATGTTTCAAAATGTCTTTGTATTCCTCATCTCTGCCACTTTTTAATGGGACAATATAATTTCATCTTCAGTGATATGCTACTATTTGTCCAGCCAAGGCCCAAGGCGTGAAACACATGGTGCACTCTCTGAATAACACTCCCAAGGGTGGCCTGAACAGACTAAAATGTAATTGGGAAATATTTAACAAAATAAATGAAAATGCACTTAAGCAAAGATAACATTATATTTCAAAACTAAGTCAATTTGCAGCTGCAGGGATCTTTACACAAGGTATGGTGGCCTCTGTTTCTTTCTGAGTTTGATGCTTGGGGACATATTAGTTGTTTCACAGTTTTCACTTTTTCTTCTTTATAATAACATCACAAAGCTATAGACCTCAGAGCAGGACCACCACTCAATCAAAGGGCACAATCACCCTTTACATGACATAAGGAAATGTAAGACTGGAATTCAAACCAGCTTCAATATTTATTAGCCAAATCATTTGCTAGTAAGTTACTTAACCTCTCAGCTTCGTTTCCTCTTTCTATAAAAAGGAAATAATAACCAACTGCAATGACAGCACTTTGTCAGGGTTTTTTACCCTCTTTGCAAAATTTATAGGTGTGGAGTTGTTTTCCTTTACATTTCACCGATTATTAGAGTTTTGGCAATTTTTTTGAGTGATTTTTAAAGTGTGTTTACTCCTTTGGAAATTATCTGTTCAGTCCATTAGAGAATGAACATTAACTACTCAATCACATACTAATATTTCTACATTCATCATAAAATTTTCATAAAGTTTCTTTTTTTTTTTATTTTGGATAACTTGTTTTTCTTGTGAAAAACTATTGTTGAGGGGGGCAAAGCTAAGATGGCAGAGTAAAAGCAGTGACTTGCTTGAGCTCTCCCCCAAACCCCTCCAAATACCTATAAAAAATGGCTCTAAACAAATTCTAAAGCAGCAGAACCCACAAAAAGACAGAGTGAAACAAATTTCCAGACCAAGACAACCTGGATGATTGATCAAAAAGATACATAGGGCCGGATGGGATGAGAAGCACAGCTCGGCATGGGCGCTCAGGCCTCAGAGGACTGAATCATGGGCAGCTGTGATGGACTCCAGACTTCTCAACCCACAAATGCCAAAGACAATTTAGAAGGTCAGTGGGAAAACTCTGTGTCAGCGGTGAGAGAGAGAAGCACAGTGGTCTCAGCTTCAGTCCCTGAGCCTGGCTCCCAGCAGCGACTGCTTCCTGAGCTTCTGGCCCACAGACTGAGGGGGAATCCAGTGGCTAATCAGAGGGGGATTGCAGAGATCTCCTTGCTGATGCAGGATTCTCTTGCTTTGCCCATGCTTGGATCTGGGTCACAGTCCTGGGTGGCGGTCCTGGGGCAAGGAGGAGCACTGGCGCGGTGGAGATTGTAGTGGCAGTGAAGACAGAATCCTCCACACAGTTCCAAGACAGAAAAGAGTGCTTGTGGTCACTCATAGACCAGAGCACAGGCCAGGAAAGAGTAAACACCTCACCCTTGATTACTACACCTTGGAAGAACTGGAAATTTATAGGTCCCTAGAAGTATCTCTGAAAACAGGTGAACAAAATCCCCAAAGCTTGGGACAATACATTCTCATTTGATCTTTTTTTTTTGTTTTTTTTTTTTTTAAGGCAATTGGGGCTAAGTGATTTTGCCCAGGGTCACACAGCTAGTAAGTGTCAAGTGTTTGGTCTGAGGCTGCATTTGAACTCAGGTCCTCCTGACTTCAGGGCCAGTGCTCTATCCACTACGCCACCTAGCTGCCCCGTCAATACATTCTCTACAATGGAAACAGACCCCTACCTTAACAACAAAAGAGTTTATAACTCAAGTAATTGGCTGGGATGATCATGGTCAAGCAGTGCAAAAAGAGTCAGACCACAGAATCTTACTTTGATGACAAAGAAGATCAAAACACGCAACCAGAAGAAGACAAAGAAGCCAAAGCTCCCACATCCAAAGCCTCCAAGAAAAATATGCATCAGTCCCAGGCCTTGGAAGAGCTCAAAAGGGATTTTGAGAAGCAAGTAAGGGAAGTAGAGGAAAAACTGAGAGTGATGCAAGAAAACCATGAAAAACAAGTCAACAGCTTGCTAAAGGAGACCCAAAAAATACTCAAGAAAATAACACCTTAAAAAAATAGCCTAACCCAAATGGCAAAAGAGTTCCAAAAAGCCAATGAATAGAATGCCCTAAAAAGCAAAATTGGCCAAATGGAAAAGGAAGTCCAAAAGGTTACTGAAGAAAATACTTCCTTAAAAATTAGAATGAGCAATTGGAAGCTAGTGACTTTATGAGAAATCAAGACACTGTAAAACAAATCCAAAAGAATGAAAAATAGAAACAATGTGAAATATCTCATTGGAAAAACAACTGACCTGGAAAATAGATCCAGGAGAGAGATTTAAAAATTATTGGACTATCTGAAAGCCATGATCAAAAAAAGAGCCTAGACATCATCTTTCAAGAAATTATCAAGGAAAACTGCCCTGATATTTTAGAACCAGAGGGCAAAATAGAAATTGAAAGAATCCACCAATCTCCTCCTGAAAGAGATCCCCAAAGGAAAACTCCTAGGAATATTGTAGCCAAATTCCAGAGTTCCCAGGTCAAGGAGAAAATATTACAAGCAGCCAGAAAGAAACAATTCAAGTACTGTGGAAACACAATCAGGATAACACAAGATTTAGCAGCTTCTACATTAAGGGACCAGAGGGCATGGAATATAATATTCCAGAGGGCAAAGGAGATAGGATTACAACCAAGAATCACCTACCCAGCAAAACTGAGTATAATCCTTCAGGGGAAAAAATGGTCATTCAGTGAAATAGGGGACTTTCAAGCATTCTTGATGAAAAGACCAGAGCTGAATAGAAAATTTGACTTTCAAATACAAGACTCAAGTGGAACATGAAGAGGTAAACAGGAAAGAGAAATCATAAGAGACTTATTAAGATTGAACTGTCTACATTCCTGCATGGAAAGACAATATTTGTAACTCATGAGGCCTTTGTCAGTATTAGGGTAGTGGGAGGGGAAAAAATTATATGTATGTATAGACAGACAGATAGATAGATAGAAGATAGATAGATAGATAGATAGATAGATAGATAGATAGATAGATAGATAGAGGGCACAGGGTGAGTTGAAGATGAAGGGGTGATATCTGGAAAATAAAATTAAGGAGTGAGAGAGGATTATACTGGGAGAAGGAGAAAGGGAGAGGCAGAATGGAGAGAATCATCTCACATGAAACAGACAAGAAAAGGCTCTTACAGTGGTGGGGAAATGGGGGAAGGTCAGAGGGAATGAGTGAGTCTTATTCTCATAGGATTTGGCTTAAAGAGGGAATAACATACACAATGGGATATGGAAGTCTATCTTACTCTACAGGAAAAATAAGGGGGGAAGGGGACAAGACAGTGGTGGGATGATAGAGGAGACAGCAGACTGGGGGAGGAGACAATCAGAAGCAAACCCTTTTGAGGAAGGACAGTCAAAAGAGAGAATAGAATCAATGGGGGGCGGGACCAGATAAAGGGAAATATACTTAGTTTTCTACAATATGACTACTATGGAAGTGTTTTGCTAGACTGCACATGTATAACCTGTATCAACTTGCTTGCCTTTTCAATGAGGGTGGGTGGAGAGGGAGGAAAAAAAACAAACAAAACAAAGCCCGGGCATACAGTTGTCCCTCCCCACCCCCACTGGTTAGTGCTTTCTCACTGTTGATTACTCTTGAATCACTTTTGTATACATTTTGTATCTATATTATAATGTATAAACTTTGTATCTAAATCATATCTCCAGAATAAGTCAATCAAAAAGTGTGTGTTAAGTGCCCACTATGTTAGGCACTATGTCAAACAGTAAGAAATACATATAAAAAGAATGAAATAATCCCTTCTCACAAGAAGCTAAAAGTCTCATGGGGAAACAAATAAACACATAAATATAGTATAAATATAAAGTGAATAAACACATTTGTGGTTGTTCAAAAAAACCCCTATTGTTTTCATACAATCAAGTCTATCAATTTTGTCTTCAATAATTTTTTTCTATTTATTCTATACAGAATTGTTCTCCACAAGTGAGAGAAACAGATTCATTTTCTTTCTAATTGTTTAACTGATATTTTTAAAATGTTTTTCAATTTTTGATCCAGTTGGAAGTAAGGTACAAGACAAAGAGTACAGCATTTAATCAGGGGAGTGAGATGTGAATCTCAATTCTGTCAGTGTGACTCTGGACAAATTGGTAGACCTCAGTTTCTATCTGTAAAAAGGAGGGTTTGATTAGATGAGCTACGTCTATGGCTCCTTCCAACTAAAATTCCTACGTCCAGTCAGTCCCACAACCTAAGCTGAGAGAACGTCAACTGCGTAAATGCATCTTGAGTCATTCATAGTATGGTAAATTATGATTCGAATGAAATGTGAGAGATGGACTCCAAAGGAAAAAATAGGAATAAGGAGTAATAATGAAGAAACACACAAGGGAAAGGGCAGGACTCAAAGGAATAATCTTAAATAATCTTACTCGAGGGCTGTGGCAGCGAACAATTACATGGGAAAGGGAAATCAGGTTCAGCTTTGTTACTTATTCCGGAGGATGCCAAGAATTTATACCACACAGGCCACAAAAGCACAATGTACCAACACTTTCAGTACACTGACTCAAAAGGAAGACTGGGCCTCTTCCACAGGTAAGAATTAAGAGTTCCAAGGCCGTCGTTTTGATCATGTGCATTCATTGTTTTCCATTTGTCCCTAACAGAGCCATCGGTCATTTTTGCTAACCAAGCAGAGAGCTTTGTAAAGTCTTGCTTGTCCACATTATAAAAAACATTCTCTATAGGAACCTGTTTCAACTTTTTCAACCAAAGAAATGCCTGTCTATCAGTAGTCTTTATTCTTTGCTGTCGAGGACACAATTCTTCCCCATTGCAAGGAGATGTTTAAAAGACAATTGCGACCAGCCCTATGGATAAAATATAACTACTAACTGCTCTCTCTTCATGAAGTTAGTGAACCACCTAACACACTTGAATTCCTGACAAAATAAATTATTTTCCCTTCTTCCCCATTAAGTGAGGTCTACTCTAATATTCTTTATAACTTTAATCAGCTCGCCTGGTATTACCAGGGGACTTACCAGCCTTGACTGCTCTGGACTCCTTTAGAATGTGCACAAGCATCCAAATCTGAAACACTGACTTGGGTCTGCCTTGAAAGGGATTCTGAGGGCCGGCTGGTCTTGTGACGTGTACAATTTGAAAATTCTTTTTCATCCAGTGACGGTGTAATGGTCAATTCTTGAGAGGCTGGTTCCAATGGCACAAGAGATCTTAACTTGGAGGCACATGTCTTAACAGTCAACGCATCATTAAGTCTTGTTCTAGCCCCACCATCCAATGCATGCTGTCTTTTCTCTGGGGTCTCACCATCCGGGATGGCGTTAGAGGCCTTGGGAGACAGAGTTATACGAAGGTAAGAGATTGCTCTTTGCTTTGGAGATGAAGATAAGGAAGGGGCAGGTGACACCTGTCTCTGTGGAGTGGGGAGTCTGGATGGCCCGTGATGCTTGACTCTGCTTGCACACACGCCACATTAGAAGAAGGCGGTTTTTGCTCCAGCTGATCCTCCTTTCCCACTGGACTATCCGGATGTTGTGAAAGAGGAGTCTGTGAGGAGTGTCCAGGACCCGCCTTGCTATCTGCAGGTGAGACATTCCTGGGTTGATGATGCCTTCCTTGCTCCTCAGGGGAAATGCCAGAAGGGAATTCGATGAGGAAGTCTACGCCTTTCTCTGTGACTCCAAGTGCCTTGGGACTCGAGCCTCTGGCGAGGTCTTGGTGCTCCTTGATGCTGGCCAGAGGCATAGCTGCTGTTGTTGGCTCCTTCTCTTGAAAACCTTTTGCAGTAGCAGACAGATCAAAGGACACCCGATGGGGGTGATACCCTGCGAGCACTGGATCTTTCTTTAGGCTGCTCGCCAGCATTCTGTTGGAAGTCAGGACAGGGTTCTCGGACACCGGCATGGAAGGTCTCTGTGCGCCAACAGGAGGGCTTTGTCCTTGGTCTGCCTGGACCACAACCGGAGCACTGGAGATGCACTGGGAGCGCTTGAGGGCCTCGGAGCAGAATTCAGAGGGTGGACGAGACGAGAGACTGACGGGTTCTTGAGAGGACACGGCAGCGGATCCCACCAGAGTCTCCATCTCTTCATGGAATGACCTTGGAGTCGCTCCTGTTAACATAATGAGACTCAGATATGGAACCTGGAAATGGCTGGTGACTTCCTGACCTAGAAAAGCTCCAAGCTTTCAACTGAGAAGTTTGGACAGTTGACTTTGCATGGCTGCCACACCGCGTACTCCAAGATGCTGTCGACTGTCTTTGGCTCATCTCTGAAGACTCATTAGATCTAAAACCTTGAGAAGGGCCACCAAATTGTTCATTAGTCATAGTTCTGAAGCAGGCTTCTTCGTGAGTCTCAATAAAGAGATGATTACATGTTTCTGAGACATTTCCTATCCCCACTGGACACGGTAAATCCTAAGAAAATACAAAAGCTTAATTAAAGTAGTTCAAAACTGCTATGTGAAAAGCAACTTATTCTCTAAGATGTGACATGACTGTAATGAACATTTCACCATGGGGCAGCTAGGTGGTGCAGTGGATAGAGCACCGGCCCTGAAGTCAGGACCCAAGTTCAAATCCACCCTCAGACTTGACAGTTGACACTAGCTGTATGACACTGGGCAAGTCATTTAACCCCAAATGCCTAAAAAATTTAAAAAAAAATTAAAAAAAAAATTTCACCACACACAGAAAAGGTGAGACAAGACACAGCACAAATATCAGCACATATGAGCTTTGACAGACCAGCCCCTCCTCCTACCACTAGAAAAGATAAAAAAAATCATAGAGTTAAAGGTGGAAGGACCTTAGAGATCACCTAGTTCCAAACTGTCATTTTACAGAAAGAAGAAATGAAGAGCCCAGTTAGAAAAAGTTTACACAGAGAGAGAAAGGGCACAGGAATGAGTCAATTATATTGGGAAGACCAAAAAGAAAAACAAATGAAATGGTGAGAAATAGGGATGCACTGGGAGAAAGGAACAACGGGAGAAATTACTTCACATAAAAGAGGCATACGAAGAGTTTACAGTGAAAGCGAAAAAAGGGGGAATGCTTGAACCCCACTCTCATCTGAACTGGTTCAAAGAGGGGAGACTATATACACACATTCAGTTGAGTATGGAAATATATTCCAATCAATTAGGAGGGGAAGTGTTAAGAGAGAAAGCAGATTAAGAGGCAGTGGTCTTGGGGGCAGCTAGGTGGCACAGTGGATAGAACACCGGCCCTAGAGTCGGGAGGACCTCTGTTCAAATTTGGTATCAGACCAGACACTTGACACTTACTAGCTGCATGACCCTGGGCAAGTTACTTAATCCCAATTTCCTTGCCAAAAAAAAATGGCTGTGGTCTGAAGTAAAACAGACTTTTGAGGAGGGTCAGTGTATAAAGAAAGAGAAGGAAGAAGAAAATAGGATGGAGGAAAAATACAGTTAGTAATCCTAGCTGTGAACATAAATGGCATGAACTCACCCATAAAATGGAAGCAGATAATAGAATGGATGAGGAATCAGGATCCACAATACATTGTTTACAAGAAATACATTAGAAACAGAAAAACACAGTTAAAATAAGGGGCTGCAGGAGAATTCATTATGTTTCAGCTGAAATTAAAAAAAAAAGGCAGGGTAACAAGCATGATCTCATTGAAAAAGCAAAAAGAGACCTAACTAAAAGAGAACATCAGGGAACCACATTTTGGTAAAAGGAACCACAAGCAATGAAGTAAAATCAATTCTAAACATATATGCACCAAATGGCATAACATCCAAATATTAAAGGAAAAGTTAACTGAGTTAGGAAGGAAATAGACAGTAAAACTACACCAGTAGCAGACCTCAATTTATGCCTCTGAGAACTACATAAATCTAAAAAAATAAGAAGTTAAGGAAATGAACAGAATTTTAGAAAAGTTAGTTATGACAGAACTCTGAAGAAAACAGTATGAGAATAGAAAGTACACTTTTTTTTTCAGTTGTATTTTCACAAAAATTGAACATGTATTAGAATGTAAAAACCTCATAAATAAATGCAGAAAAACCGAAATACTAAAAGCACCCTTTTCAAGCCAAAACACAATAAAAATTACATTTAATAAAGGGTCTTGGAAGGATGGATTAAAAATTCATTGGAAATTAAATAATCTAATTCTGAAGAATGAGTAGGTCAAAGAACAAATCAAAGAAACAATAATTTCACTAAAGATAACAAAAACAATGAGACATCATACCAAAATTTGTGGGAGGCAAAGTAGTACTTAATGGGAAAATTTATATGTCTAAATGCTAACTAACATCAATTTTTAAAAAAAGAGATCAATGAATTGGGCATAGAACTCAAAAAACTAGAAGAACAAATTAAATATCCCTAATCAAACACTAAAATAGAAATACTGATAATCAAAGGATAATAAAATTTAAAGTTAAAAAATCAAACTAAAGAATAAAAGAGGTTGGTTTTATGAAACAAAAACAATAAAACAGATAAACCATTGGTTAATTTCATGGGGGAAAAAAGAAAATCAAATCATTGGTATCAAAAATGAAAAGGATGAATGTACCACTAATAAAGATGAAGTTAAACCGATTATTAGGAGCTACTTTGCCCAACTATGTACCAATAAACTGATAATCTAAGTGAAATAGATGAATATTTACAAAAATATATGTTGTCCAGATTAGAAGAGGAAAGAGAATACTTAAATATTCATACTTTAGAAAAAGAAAGTGAACAAGCCGTAAATGAGCTCCCTAAGAAAAAGTCCCCAGAACTAGATGACTTACAAGTGAGTTCTTCCAAACATTTAATTCCAATACTACATAAACTATTTGAAAAAATAGGTAAAAAAGGAATCCTACCAAATTACTGCTATAACACAAATATATATGATTTTGATACCCACACCAGGGAGAGTAAAAACAGAGAAACAAAACTGTAGACTAATTTACCTAATGAATATTAATGCAAAAAAATTAAATCAGATACTAGTAAGGAGACTACAGCAATACATCACAAAGATCAAATACTCTGATCAGATGGGATTTATACCAGAAATAAAAGACTGGCTCAATATTAGAAAAACTATTAAGTATAACTGACCATATAAATAACAAAAACAACAAAAATTAATCAACTATGTCAACAGATTCAGAAAAAACTTTTGACAAAACATAACACCTATTAAAAACACTAGAGAGCACAGGAATAAATGGATTTTTTTTTCTTAAAATGATAAGCAATATCTATCTAAAAGCAAGAACAAGTAATGGGGATAAACTAGAAACCTTCCCAGTAAGATGAGGGGTGAAGCAAGGATATTCATTATTACTATTATCAGTCAATATCGTACCAAAAATGCCAGCGATAGAAATAAGACAAGAAGAAGAAACTGAAGGAATAAATAAGAATAGGCAATGAGGAAACAAAACTATCACTCTCTGCAAACAATATGATAGTTTGAGAACCTTAAAGAATCAACTAACAAAGTAGTTAAAATAATTAACAACTTTAGAAAAACTGCAGGATATTAAATAAACACACATAAATCATTATCATTTCTATACATTAACTAACCAAACCCAGCAGGAAGAGACAGAAAGAGAAATTCCACTTTAAAAGGCTGCAGACATTATAAAATACCTGTCAAAGCACACCCAGGAACAAAATTACAAAACACTTTTCACATAAAGATAGATCTAAACAACTGAAGAAATATTAATTGCTCGTGGGTAGGCTGAGCCAATATAATAAAAGTGACAATTCTGCCTAAATTAATTTACTTATTCAGTGCCATACCAATCAAATTACCAAAGAATTATTTTATAAAACTAGGAAAAATAATAACAAAATTCATCTGGAGGACAAAAGGTCAAGAATATCAAGGAAATCAACGAAAAAGCTGTGAAGGAAGGCAGCCTCACAGTACCAGATTTCAAACTATTATTAGAAAGGGTAATCATCAAAACAATCTGCTACTGGCTACGAAAGAACAGTAGATCAGTGGAACAGATTTGGTACACAACACACAGTAGGAAATGACCATGGTAATCTAGAGTTGGATAAATCTAAACTTTGGGGCAAGATTTCACCATCTGACAAAAACTGCTGGACAGCAGTTTGGCAGAAATTACACAAAGACCAATATCTTTCATACATACCAAAATAAATTCAAAATGGGCACAGGATTTAGAGATAAGGCTTGATTATAAGTAAACTAGGGGAGAATGGAAAATTCACCTGTTCTATCTATGTATATGGGAAGAGTTTATGACCAAACAAGAGACAGAGAAGATCACAAGAAGTAAAATGGATCTATGATTACATGAAAGTAATTTTAAAAGTTTTTGCACAAACAAAATAAAGCTAAAATTATAAGGAAAGTGAGAAACTGGAGGGGGAAATGGATGTTTTACAAAATAATTTTTTTTTTACAAGAAAGTGAAAGCATTGTTGGTGGAGTTGTGAAATGATCCAACCATTATGGAGAGCAATTTGAACTATGCCCAAAGGGCTATAAAAATTGACCCAGCAATACCACTTCTAGGTTTGTAACCCAAAGAGATCATACAAATGGGAAAAGGACCCACATGTACAAAAATATTTATTGCAACTCTTTTTGTGGTGGCAAAGAATTGGACATTGAGGGAACACTCATCAGTTGGGGAATGGCTGAACAAGTTGTGGTACATGAATGTAATGGAATACTATTGTGCAATAAGAAATGATGAACAGGCTGACTTCAGAAAAACCTGGAAAGACTTGTATGTACTGATGCTGAGTGAAGTGAGCAGAACCAGAAGAACATTGTACACAGTAACAGCTACGTTGTGCAATGACTAACTTTGATAGACTTAGCCCTTCTCAGCAATGCAAGGATCTAAGACATCTCCAAAAGTCTCATGATGGAAAATGCTATCCACATCCAGAGAAAGAACTATGGAGTTAGAATGAAAATCAAAGCATACTATTTTGCTATTTTTTTCTCTTCTGTTCTGTTTTGTTTCCTCTTTCTGGTAGTTCCTCCTATTGTTTCTAATTCTTCCTTACAACATGACTAATGTGAAAATATGTTTAAGAGGAATGTATATGTAGAGCCTATATAAGATTTCATACCATCCTGCGGAGGGAGGGGGAGAAAAATTTAAAACTCAAAAGCATATGGAAGTGATTGTTAAAAACTAAAAATAAATTAATAAAAAAAAAAGAAAGAACTATCAAATGGAGAATGGCTCAACAAAGTAAAAAGAGAGAGAGAGAGAGAGAGAGAGAGAGAGAGAGAGAGAGAGAGAGAGAGAGTAAAAGCTGTGAAAAGGCAGGCTTTCAAAAATAAAGATTGTGTGCCCCTCCAGCCAGAGTGGTTCTTCCCACAGCCATCCATCATTTTCCAGACTCAGCCAACATCCGTACATGGCCCATCCTCCACTTTTCAGCTCCCCTGTTTTACACTGTCTTCCCCTATAAGAATGTAAGATCCTTGAGGGCAAGAACTGTCTTTTTTTTGGGGGGTGGGGGAATTATATGTATAACTCCTGAGTTTACTAAATGCAGGTTGACTGACAATCAACTGTAGCAAAAGTGAAACAATTTCAAACTAAATTCATCAAAAACTGTAACATTAACTAGGATCAGAGAAATTCATAATTGCCTAAAATCAATATGACCTGTCAGTCCAGCTCTATATGCTCTGTGATTCCCTGCTGCATCTAGGAGCCGAGATAACTTCTCTGACTGGCTGAGTCAAAAGCCCTCCCCAGCCTGGGCTTCCTTTCAGAATCCCACCAGAAGGGCCCTCTCACTGGGCTTCACACAGTGTGTCCCCCCCCCTTCTGTGCACCACGGCCTGTCCCTAATGCCTAGAAGTGATTCCCATCTCTGCCTCTTCAATCTCTAGCATCCATCAAAGCTCAGTTAGCCAGCCAGCCACAAGCATTTACAAAGTGCTTCATCTTCATCATATACTGCATCAGGCACTGGTGAAGGAGCATTAGGCTCCTTCAAGGAACTTACATTCTAATGGGGAAGACAACACATAAAGAGGGAGCTTGGAAGACAAAGGCAGTGCCCTCACACAAGGATGGTAGTGAAGTCCAGAGACTGAGGAATTAATGTCTGGGCCCTTCCTCAAAATGGAGGTTCTGTGAACAACTCCCCAATGGGCGAAGGGGCCTGCAGGTGTAGAGGGAGAAGATAGCTGAGGCACAGTGACATGGAATGAGGGATGAACAGTCTCTGGGTTCTTCCCCAAAATGGAGATTCTGGGAATGATGATGATGATGATGATGATGATGATAACTAGTATTTAAATACTATGTACTATGTGCCAGGCACTGTGCTAAGGACTTTACAAATATCATCTCATTTGATCCTGACCACAACAATGCAGATGCTATCATTATCCCCATTTTAAAGGTGAAGAAACTGAGGCAAAGAGCTGTTAAGTGACTTGCCCAAGATTGCACAGCTAGCAACTGCCTGAAGCGATTCCAAGTCCGGCACTCCATCTACTGGGCCAGCTAGTGATGGATGCCAATCCGGGGAGCTCAGTTCAAATGGCACTGACTCCATGAGGCCTTTCAAGATTTCCATAGCTACTACTACCTCTCTCACTCAGCCCCCAAACTACACTGCATTTACTTTGTATATTCTTCTACACCTACATGCGTGGCCACATCCAACCCCCAAGTCCTCCAACAAAATATCGGCTCCCTGCCAGCAGGAATGGCTTCCCCTGGCACAGAATGATCACTTTGTAAATACTTGAAGATCCGCTAAGTGAAGGGCGTCCTGACCCAGCCTGGGCTCTCCCACATACCTGGATTACATCCAGTGGCCTCCCAGACCCGCAGAGGCTGGCCTTGATCTCTTCCACCTTCCTCAGGTCGGCTTCATCCAGCTCTGTCACGACGTCCCCACGCTCAGTAGCCAAATTAAACTTTAGGTTCCAGGCTGCGAAGAGAGCATTACAACAATGGAAATAAGAAATACCTATAGAAATCCAACCAGACTGTCAGGGGCTCATTTCCTTTCTATTATGATGAAAAAATTAGCGGCTCCCATTGTCAATCATGAAGGCCTAACTCCCACAGGGCCTGTTGCTTTGGGGAGACAATCACAGTAATTGAAGATTGCTCTGTAATTTATACCCTGAGCATCTGAGACACTTTAACTGAGACTCATCCACTGTTGTGTCCTAAGCAGGATTAGAACCCAGGCCTCCCTGACACAAAGACAGGTTCTCTCCCCACTAGGGCACCACCATGAATATCTCCCCAACCAAGAAGTCTGTGCTCAGAGAGCACAACTGAAAATTAACTGAAGTGATGGACAACTGTAATGACTAATGATTCATCTTGGTAAAAAGGTGAGGGACTAGAGAGAATACCGGCCATTCCTGCAACGGTTCTGCATATTTGTGTTACTTCACCATCGGGGAGGGTTCAGTTGAGATTGGGGGGGAAGGGATTAGGAAATGACTATGGTCTATGGCTAAAAAAACAAAAGTTATCACTTAAACACATAAATTGAACTGAAGCATATAGATATATCTGGAGATATAGACACAAAGCTGACCTGCCCTACAAGTCAGCTAATTGGCCAAACGTATTTTCCACCTACTACCTGAAAATGTTTCTTTCATGATACGTGTGGGGCCTGAAATTCCCCCAAGCAGGCATTTATTTGGGTTGCCAAATATTCCTTTAAAATCTAAGTACCTCTGAATTTTGGAACACAGCCAATGCCAAAATCAGGAGGTGACGAGGCAGGTAAGCTCTTACCACGTGCGCGTACCCTGCACTCCTTTTCCTCTGCATCCCGCAGCATTTGCGTGGCCAAGCTCCCCGGGGCATCACATGTCAGGAGATGCCGCACATGGACAGCCAAGGAATCATCACTGCTGCAGCCATCATCACTATCAGAAATGATCTCTCTCTCTTGGATATCTCCCATGTATACATGGGTTGGGAAATTGGGCAAGTACCCAAAAAAGGAATCAGAAACAGGATCCCAAATGTAAGAAACTCTCATATCACTGGAGTCACTACTTGAATTGCTGCTTGTTAAAGGTATCCCAGGCACTGAAATTTCATCCTCAATGAAGGTACTACTTCGGTCACGCTCACATCTCGACACTGACCGGACTGTTTCACACTGTCTGAGTGTCTCCTTCAAGGCCACTCTGGCCTTCCTCTCCGTTTCCTGAACAGAAGCTTTCCCAGTATCTCTCTGGGAACTGAAATGATTGACCGTGTTAGTGTCCACATTCATAGTAGGGATCATCTTTTCATCCCACTTTAACCTCTGGGAAAGCCCCATAGAGTCTTTAGTCAGAGGGACCTCCCTGATGTCATCCAGCCTGCTGGGCTGAGGAGACGTAACATCAGGGTAAAGAGATGGGGAACTGCTAAAGCGCTTCTGGGCAATATTCTCTGCCTCCACCAGGAGCATGTGGAGCCCTTTATCTGCTTTCGATTCACTTTCAGACGTCTCCTTAATGTCTGAAGGTACTGGTTTGCCTTTCTTCCCATCTTTATCCACACACATAGGTGTCTCCTTAATGTCAGAAAGTGTTGGCTTGCCTTTTGTGTCACCATTATCCACAGACACAGGTGTAGGTATAGGCAAAGGCACAGCGTGGACATTGTCCTCAAGGAGATGGGAATCCCAATGATCTATTAGCCTTTGGACATGTTCAGAAATGATTTTGAAATCTTCTTTATAACCAGAAGTAGCAAAGGGAACTTCTGGTGAGACCAATTTCTCCTCAGCTTGCTTAGACTTAGGGAAAGTCTCTGGGGTACTTTCAGAGGCCCACTCCTCCCGCTGCCGAAAGGTACTCTCAACCTGAGTGACAGTTTTCTCCCGGTAATCTGGATGCTGTGATGTCCCAGTGGACACTGGTAAATCTCGGTGTGAGTAGGACTCCAGAGGGATGGACCAGCTGACATGAGAGACACCAGAATTAAAGTTGGAACGTACTAAAAGAGAAAAAGAATTTTTTTGTTAAAGTACTGGATATTAAAATTAAAGAGTATGTGTGTGTGTGTGTGTGTGTGTGTGTGTGTGTGTTTTCTCAGGACACTGACCACTGCATTGTACTCAAAACCCTAGCATTTACACGTAAACATGGAGAAACACTGCTATGCAGCAGTCCAGAAACCGGCATGTTCTCAAACATACTCCTGGGAAATTTCAAAGCCATTACAGGAAACAGAACCAATGAGAGAACAAGTGAGGCAAGAGACTGCAGTGGGCCACCACGGGACTAACCTAGAAGCCAAGAAATGATAGAGAGCGTGGGGCCCAGTAACAGCCACCCAGGAGACAAAGGAAGATGATGGGGGCGACGAAGCACTACAGCTGAGTCTCCCTCCACAAAACTTCCCCAAAACCATCTACAAAATGCACCAGAATGAGTCCTGATGAAGATATACAGAAAGTTTGTCCAGCCCAGATGGGCTAGGACCCATACATGGAGGTCTGTGGATACTGGAGATGGGGTTAGGCCAGGACCACATCCCAGGGAGCAGCGATGCCCTGGGGCAAGAGGAGGTCCGAGACCCATCCAGAGGCATCACAGGGGGGACAAGGCAACACTGTGTGCCCACTATTCAGGTCTGGTCACAAATCAGGGTAGAATGGGAAGGAGACCTGTATACAAGGATGGCATTCCTGAGTAGGGAGGCCCTGTGCGGTGATCCAAGAAAGGAGGAAATTCAAAAGTCATTAACAGCAGAGTGCCTCAGACCCAGGAGCTGAGCAGGATCTGTTTGAGCATCTAGCCCACTTTGCAAAGGAAGAATCAGAACAAGATTCTCAGATCAAAAGAGAGCCTATAATTATGGGAAAGAGGAAAAGAGGGAAGGGAGAGAGGGAGGGAGTGGGAGGAGGAAAAGAGGGAAGGAGGGAGGGAGGGAGGGAGGGAGGAAGGAAGGGAGGAAATAAGCATCTACAATGTGCCAAATACTTAACAAATACTATTATCTCATTTGATCCTCACAAAACCTTACCCAAGCAAAAAACTCCCTGAAAATTCAAATGAATCAAATTCCATATGGAAACAAAAAATTTTAAAACAAACTCAAAGGGCTTGAAAAAAATAGAAGAAAATGTAAGATATCTCATAACTAAAACAGGCACCATGAAAAACAGATGGGGGGGCAGAATTTTAGAATGAACAGACTATCTGAATTCCATGATTGAAAACTCCCAGGAATATCGCACACAAAACCCAGAGTTTCTAGGTCAAAGACAAAATTCTTCAAGAATCCAAAAAGAAAGAACTCAGGAACCAAGAAGTCACAGTCAGGATCACAGACAATTTAGCACACCCCACAACAAAGGGGCAAAGAACTTGGAACCCAATATCCCCGAAGGTAAAGGACATGGACCTGAACCAAGAATGTTCTACCCAGCAAAACCAAATAGAATTCCACAGAGGGAAAAATGGACCTTTAATAGAATGGCAGACGTAAGAATTTCTGGTGAAAAGATCAGACATGAGTAGAAAATCTGAAAGATGAACACAAGAATGAAAAGAAATCTAGAAAAGTAAATACATTTGAACAACAGAAGTAGCCGAACACTGACACTTACATTCTAACACGGAGAGAAGAAACAAACATCCTTTCAAAATATTAATGTCTTAAAAAAAAACAAAGATTAGTCTTCAGAGGCCACAGAGTAAAGAAAAACAAACTCCACCAAAGTGTGGCTACTGTTTTTTGAGTTTTGACAGAAAAGAAAAGAGATGATGGAGAGGAAGACATTAAGGAAAAAAATGAGAAAGAAGTGAAAGGAAATGACTACTTTGCATAAAGGGAGTATACAAGAAGAACACAGAGATATGGATGAAGGGAGGGAGGCATTTAATAAATATTTTTAATTGAATTTGTGGCATTAGAAGCAATCAGATGACAAAGTGGCTAAGAGTATTGGATTTGGACTCAGGAAGTCATGAATTCAAATTTAGGCTCAGACACTTACCCTAGACAAGTCATTCAATCTCTCTTTGCCTCCATTTCCTCATCTGCAAAATAATGCTAAGCACCTACTTCCAAGGGTTATTAAGAGGATGAAATGAGATAATATCAGTAAAGCACTCTGCAAACATCATATAAATGTTATAAATGCTAGTTACTACTGTAATTATTATTTTCTCCAAGAAAATATCGTATATCATGAGGTAGAGACAGCTTGAACCAGAAAGTAGAAGAATGAAAAAGAAAGAATAAATCCAACAGCCCAATGAAAGGAAGAACATACTCCTTTTCTATCACACTGGCTGGTTTCTCTTCTTCATCACCTAAAATTATCACATTCTCAAAGGCTTAGCCCCTGGTCCTCTGCTCTTCCCTCCCCCACCTACTCTTGCCCACAGACTGTGCTTCGGTTCCCAAGTCCCTAATCATTACTTCTATGTGGACGCCTCCTGTTCTGACCTCCCACTTAACCTGAATCCCAAACTGCCCACAAGACACAGCCACTTAGAGAACTTGCTGCCACTTCAAAGCTCACAGATTCAGAGCTGAAAGCACTGTAATTCATCCCAAAACCAGCTGCTTTATGACCTTCCTCAAATGCAATGCCCAGAATGTAATAACAACACTGCAGACAGAACAGAGCAGAACAATCAGCTCACTCATTCCGGACATCACAGCTCTCTTAAGGAAGGATTCAACGTCATCAGCCTTTTCAGGTGCCATATCACACTAATCAAAAAAAGGCAAGAGATTTTATACATGCTGGGCATAAGTAAGCTCTAACACATTATGAAGAATTATATAGAAAGAGCATCATAAAGAATGTCACCAAACTAAAAAAGATAGACCATGAGGGAGGTTAAAAAAATCGTGGAACTCAAAATCTTCTAAAAGTGAATGTTGAAAACTAAAAAAAAAAAATAATAATAATAATAATAATAACAATAATAATAATGTTATACACACACATATGTGTTGAAGTCTCCTTCTGTGAAGGCAGGAGTTGGGGGGAAAAAAATTTCAGCACTTGGCATAATAATATTTACATAGTGTTTAATCAATGCTTTTCTAGTCATTCATTCATTCACAAATTCACACTGTCTTTTCTTCTTCATTGGAATAACTTTTTTTTATTAAAATATTTTAATTTTTTTTAAAAGCCAGAAGCAATGGAATACCAAAAGACAGCCCACTTAGCTCCAGAAGTAATACTCAGGCCATCAACAGAAGTCAAGAAAAGGCCTCAGCAAACTTTTAGGATGACTCAGACAGGAGCTGCCCAGGATAGTCAGGCAAGGATAGACAGTAGTCTCTATCACTCCTTACGATTACAGAATCTAAGAGATGTGAGAGGCCTCAATGGTGATGATTTAATCCAACCCACACCTAAACAAGACACTTCTCTAAGGCATACCTGTGAAGGCCTTAGCCAGGTGGGCCCACAACCTTGGCTCTTCATTGCTCAAAAGTTTTTCTTCAGCTCTAAGGGACTACAATGAGTCTTCCAGATTGGTCTCCCTGACTTTGGCTGCTCCTCTTCTAATCTCGTCCTAAATGACCTACTCATCCCAAGTCTGACAATTCTCCTAGTATGCAACCCCTCACCCCCTTCACTCATCATCCCAAGCGCTGCTGATCCAAAAGCATCATCTCCTCCATGGAAACTTTCCCCAATGGCTCCAGTCAATATTGATCCTACCTCCTCTAATTTCCCAGAGCACACATTGTCAGTACGACAGAAATTAGATAATTATACTCCACTAATCCCTACATTATACTTTTTAATAACTTCAAAGCATGAAGAACACAAACATGTAAGCTAAAGGCAAAATTCAACGTTCAAATGTAAGCAGTGGCAGAACAGACAGAAAGTGAGGAAGTAAGCTGATAAAAGTGGACCCGAGACAGATAGGGAAAGTTCAAGAAACCAAGAACACGACACTCAGCCAGTTAGGCGGGAAGAAAGGCAAAAGTTCCAAATGGCCAGACCTTAGCTTGTGGCTTTGAGATCAGCTTAAGATTCAGTGACACAGGCTTCCTTGTTGTCTCTCACATAAACTCAAAGACAGGATACAACTGCAGAACCTAAGGCCCATAGGTCTCCCAGAAGAACAAAAGACTGAAAAAAACCTTACCACCATAATTCAGAAATTGATCATGTAAGATAACTTCCCAGAATTTCTCAATATAGAAAATGAAATACCAATGGAAAAAAATTAAGAGATCGCATCCAGAAACAAAAAATCAGAGCTGCAAACTCTAAGAATCATAGTTATTACATTTAACAATTCGATTCAGAAACACATTCTGTCCACAATCAGGAGAAAGACCTTCAAATTTAAAGGGAAGGAAATAGAAATGCCGAGGGTTTAGAAAAAACTGAGAGCTGACTCTAGGATTCTTTAAGTACGTGATCCTATTACCTGCAAAGAGTGATCATTTTGTTTCTTATTTACTTATGATTATTCCCTCGATTTCTTTTTCTTGTCTTTTGTTACAGCCAAGCATTCCTAGTGCTGTGTCAGACAGGAGCAGTGGTAATGAATACCTGTTTCGCTCCTGAAAATACTGGAAAAGATTCTAGTTTCTCTGTTACAAATTCCCCTGGTTTTAGATATATAATATTTATCATTTTAAGCAAAGATCCATTTATTTATTCTTATGTTTTCTAGTGTTTTGAATAGAAGTAGATATTGTATTTTGTCAGAGGCTTTTTTCTGCATTTATTACTATAATCATGACTTTTGTTGATTCTGTTATTAATATAGTAAATTAAGCTTACAATTTTCCCAATATTAAACCAACCCTGTATTCCTGGTATAAATCCAATTTGGTCATATGGCATAATCATGAAAATATATTGTTTTAGCCTCTGTGATAATACTTTGTTAAAAATTTCTGCATCTGTTTATTAAGGATAGTAGCCTAAAGTTTTCTTTTCCCATTCTGATTCTCCCTGGTTTACGTAACAATACCACATCTGCGTCACAAAAGAAATTTGACAGAATAGCTTCTTTTGCTACAATTTACATTTTTTTTCTTGAGAAATTCATCTACGGCTTGTGCACTTTCTTCCTCTGAAAATGTTTAAGTCCTCTAAAGAAAGAATGAAGCTGATGGGGGGGGATCTCCTATAGAAGACAGGAAGGGATGAGATCAAGGATACATAGAGAGGGGAGGCCCTGCAAGAAGGAGCCACCCCTTCATGAGAAAGAGGAGTGAAAGAGGAAAACAGGTGGTGACAGCATGCTAAGAGAGGAAGAAAGGAGAGAGAGTTCTGGTCAAATGGCTTTGATTTTTTTCAACAAAGTGCACTGCCATCTTCCTCTCCAAGAGGCTGGAGGAGGGATGAGGAGGATTGGAAGAACCACTGGGGCACATGGGAGGTGTGAAAGGAGTACCTTCTGGTGAGGGCCCAGATAAGAATGGTGCCATAAATTTAGAGTGGACCAGTCACCATGCTCTCACGACTTTCTCCAGTGCTTTTCAGCAGCATCTGAAGGGAATCAGAGTAATCCAAGGTCAGGCAACAGCACAAGGAAGCAAGGGACTTGTGCGCAGAGAACAGCAGAGTTGAATTACCCCACGCTTAGGTGGGCTCTCTTCTCCCCCGAGGCCATCTGCTACCACAGCCAACACAACAAGCATCAACGAGTCCCAGGTTTTCACTGACGCCCGTCCCAGGCAACGCTAGCTACCACCACCACAGAGGAGGAAGAACGACGTACCTTTCCAACCAGATTACCTGTTACTCCCCTTCATGCACACTAAGGAGCAGCCAATCTGGCCTTCTTAATGGCCCCAGAAGTGACTCTCTATCTCCCTTCTCTCTGTCTCTGCGAAATCCGCCCCATACGCCTACAATGCCCTCTCTCCATATCTCCACTTCTGGGAATCCTCAGTTTACTTCAAAGCATGGCTCCAATGCACCTTTAACTAGAGGCTTTCCTAAGTTCCCCAGGTGTTCATGTTATTCACTCCCCACCCCAAACCACCATGTAGCTATTTTGTATGCATCTCTGTACATACATGGTGTATCCCCTATAGACCGGAAGCTCTTTGAGGGCAGGGGTTTTTCCATATTGCCACCTAGGACAGGGTCTAACTCCACTTAACAGCTGGAGCCTGGATGACTGACTGCAGGTCAACAGGTTCTTTAAACTTTAATGAGGCTTTGGGTTTCCATGTTTCTATTTTGAAACAAAGAACAAATCATGTAACCAGAGTCAAGCCAATAAATCATGTCTTATGGGAGTTCACTGAACAGGAGTATACAAAGGAGCTGCTGAAAATGTCAGTCAGCTTCACGGCAATCCTGTACAATACAGTACACAGACTACTGGAAAACAAATATTCATTTATTTGCAAATCAAGCAACTTTTAAAAAGACTCTATGATCCAAGTTATAAAATGTTACTCAAATCATTGAAAACTGCTTAAACATACCAAGAATTGTTATTTTTTAAACAAGTCAAATGTGGGCGAAGGGAAAAGGGTAGGGGAAGGGAAGGAATATCTATTATTTTCTAGTATTTCAAAAAGATTTAAGTCTCCTTTTCTACTTACCATTTGACGTGTTCCTCAATGTAGTAGGACATAATACTTGAGGCTCAATGACTGGTACTGGACCACTCCGTATTGGAGGAACAAATGAATGAGGGTCAAAGAAACAAGGGTGATGATATACCTAAAGGGGTGGGCCAGGAGGAAAGAGAGAAAATGAGGAAGTAAATTTAAAACCCATTACAATAACTTTAAAGCCCATGTCCTTTCTATGTCTTCAGACGGGGGCATATATCAATCCCACTTTAGGGAGTCTAGGCAACTAGCTTTAATCTAAGACCACAGTGATGCTAAATACAGAATGTTTTATTACATTCAATTCACAGAGACCATGTTAGCATTTAAAAGTAATTTCTATCAGAACAAATGAACGTCTGTGCTCCTATAATTTTCAACATATTTGAGATATACCATTCAATTCAACAAATGAAGCACCAGACAAAAGGTGGCATATGCCAACAGAGTCCAACAGCTGCCACCCCTTTAAGCACCACATCCCCCAAGGCCTCAATGGAGACAGCCCCAGGCCATCAACTTCATCCACCATCCAGGAGAGTCAACACCTGGGCAGGTGAAACCTGACAACTGTTTTTGCTCACGCGGCAGCCCGGCATCCTTGGCAGCCATAGCTACTAAAGAACCAGAAGACACAATCCTCACCACCAACAAAGTCCTTGGCCCTGCTAAACTGAGCAATAAGAGAAATGGAGATGGTTTCATCACAGAAATAACACTAAAGAAGATTCTTCTCTTCCTTCCATCTGACTTCCAACTCAAACCTCCTACCTTAGAACATAAGAGCAAGGCCGGTCTGGCTTTCCTCTGTCGATGCTCCTAGCACATGGCTTTGCATCTAGGAAGGGCTTAATAAACCCTCATTCCTTCATAGAAATGCTCCACTCTGGCTCTTCAGCCTTCTGATCCTGACTTGAGGGGGTCCCTGAACTCAACCACTACTTCATGAAGCATCCAAGCCCAGCTCCCAGCATGCCTGGCACCACTGCTCCCTTTCCACACTTCTCCACTTCCTTGCCAGAAGCCTTACTCCTCTCTCCAAGCTTTCAGCTTTCTGTGCCATCTTTCTGCGCCATCTTTACAATTAAAATACAAGCTCCTTGAGGGCGGGCACTGGTTGTTTTAGTTGTATTTGAATCCCCAGTACTTAGTCCAGGGCCTGGCACAAGTAAGTGTTTAATAAATGTTTCATCTATCTATATCTTCCTTATGAGTTATTATATTCAATATATTCAATAGGAAATGATAGAATCAGCCATGAAAGTCTCAAATTATTCAACCAAGTACCTCTAGAAAAATGCTTCACAACTTAGGGTTTCGCATTTACAGCACAGCCTTATAAATAATCCTCCCCAAATATTTAAGGAAATAAAATGAATCTCCCAATATACCTGGCCCTTCCCAGTCAGTTCTATATATAGCCTCAAAAACATCAGAACAACCGATTTCCTCCTGTGAGGCACGTGAGAGGCAAAACTACTTTTAAAGTCATGAAGTCCAAGATATACTCTTGGGTCAAATCAAACCATGACTTGGGGTTTTCTAATAAGATATCTGACTTGACTGCAGTGGAGGGGAAATGGAGGAAGATGAGAGGGAATGAGTGAATCTTATTCTCATCAGATTTGGCTTAAGGAGGGAATAACATACATACTCAATTGGGTATGGAAATCTATCTTACCCTACAGGAAAACAGGGGGGTAAGGGGACAGGAGAACAGGGGGGTGATGGAGGGGAGAGCAGATTGGGAGAGGGGGTAATCAGAAGCAGACACTTCTGAGGAGGGACAGGGTCAAAAGAAAGAATAGAATAACTGGGGGGCAGAATAGGATTAAGGGAAATAGAATTAGTTTTTCACAACATGACTACTATGGAAGTGTTTTGCATAACTGCACATGTATAACCTGTATTGAGTTGCTTGCCTTTTCAATGAGGGTGGGTGAGGAGGGAGGAAGGGAGAAAATTTGGAACTCAAAGTTTTAAAAAGACATGTTCAAAAAAAAAAGTTTTCACATGCAACTGGGAAATAAGAAATACAGGAAATGGGGTACAGAAATCTATCCTGCCCTACAGGAAAACAAAAAGGGAAGGGGAGAAGAGAAGGGGGGGGAGAGACAGAAGGCAGGGCAGACTAGGGGAATGGGCATTCAGAATACATGCCATCTTGGGATGGAGGGGAGGGGCGAGATGGTGTGAAAATATGGCACTCAAAATCTTGTGGAAGTGAATGTTGAAAAATAAAAATAAATAAATTTTAAAAAGAAAGAAAAAAAAAAAGAAATCTGACTTGACCTGACTCTAGAGGACAACTTTCTAGACCCTCCCCACTTCAGTTTCCTGCTTTATTTCTCTTACAGTGAAGCACAAAGTCATCCTGTGATATCTCATCATGGTGCCATGGAAGAGACGCTGGGTTCTCCAAGGCATCGCCAGCACAGCAGAAGGTCAGCAGTTTCTAGCAGGCTAAGAAGGTGCTAACTGTGGCCCCAGGAACAAAACTGAGCCTACTCTCCAGGTACCACCTAATCAGGCACAAGGAGGCCACCTGTGTGACAAATCTTTTGACTTTGGTAGCCCATGAAACAAAGGCATAGGCTAAATGGATCTCTGCACTATGGGGGGGGGGGATAACAGAGGTAAAGCAGATAGAGAGTGCTAAGAATCATAAAAATCTTGAGACTCAATAAACGCTGTTGGTACTTGTCTAATGACCAATGACAGGACAGCCTACTAGAAGAATTAAATCTCCTCCATCTTGATTTCTCACCATACATGACACCAAAAAAAGGGAAGGAGCAAAATGAGAGGATCCCTCACAGATGTCTACCCACAGAAAAAGGAGAAGAGGAATGCGTGGAGGTAGTTTCATCATAAATACAAAGGCAACAAGAAAAACTATTTCCTGGGACCTTTGGTCATCTCATATTGAAAGAGTCACTTGTCAGTCACCTCACGCTTCTTACTGTGGACCAGGCAATATTTTCAGGCTGGCCTGGGAGGCCCAAGGTCAGCAGCCGGAAGCATCTGGGGGGCTTTGAATCCAACCCTGACTCCAAACACCAAAATCTGGGAGGAAAGTCATCCAACCTGCACCTACTCCTCACCTTGGACCACCTCCTGACCACACATGTAAATCCTTTCATCAGTCTACCCCAGGGTCAGTGACTCCAGATGTTCTCTGCCACAGGCCCAGCTGGGCCCTGGCATACTACTATGGAGGGGCAAGAAGGCTCCACACTGCTGTTCCTAAGAAAACCCTGTCCTGAGTATCTGCAAACCTCTCTGTCTATATCCCCAGTGCTGACCTGGGCTGCAAAAATTACACACTATGATTTTTTCTTAGATTTCCTAATCAGTACTTTTGCATTTTCTTTTTTCTTTTTTTAATTAAATTCTACTTTATTTTCAAAGATCAGCTTTCTTGCCCTCTGACCTTCTATCATCCCCAAATTAAAGAGGCAAGAAAAAAATAAAACTGCCATTACAAACATGTATAGTCAAGCAAAATAAAATTTTTCATTGACTAGGTCTAAAAAACATAGCTCTCAAATTGCACCCTGAATCTATTTGTCAGGAAGTGGGCAGTATGTTTGATCATGAGTCCTCAGGAACTATGGCTGGTCATTATGTTCATGGAAGTTCTCAAGTTTTCTTTTTTTTTTTAATATATTTTGTTTCAATCAGCCAAGAAACCCCTTTCTCATCCTCCCACTCCAACTTTCCCCCACCCATCAAGAACACAAGAAAAACAAAATCCATGTAGCTAGAAAAAGCAAATAAGGTCAATCAAACAAATTTCAGACACCTCAAACTGAATGACCAGGAGACATCTTAAACTCAGCATGTCCAAAACAGAACTCATCATCTTTCTCTCTAAACACAGGAGTGCCCAGGGTCATACAGCTACTAAGTGTCTGAGGCTAGATATGAACTCGGCCGAGTCTTCTAGACTCAACAGGGCACCACCATCCTCTCCATCCCTCAGGACTGAAAACTAGGAGTCACCCTGAACTTTCTCACATTCCCCACATCCAATCAATTTTACCTTTGTAACATCTCTTGCATATGATCCTTTCTCTCCTCTGACATCACCACCCACCTGGTGCAGGCCCTCATCACCTCACACCTGGACTAGTTCAGCTGCCTCCAGTCTGTCCTCCATCCATTCATCCATTAAAGGAATATTCCTTAAGTGCAAGTCTGACCACATCACCCCCCATTCAATAAGCTCCAACAGCTCACCCTTCATATCGAAGATAAAACCCCTGTTTGGAAAGCAACGCCCTTCATGACCTCAGTCTCCTCCCACCTTTCCAGTCTTCTTAAAATTTACACACACACACACCTCTTCCCCTCTTCCTCCCCCCCCTTCTCCCCCCCCCCCCCCCCCCCCCCGTCTTCAGTCTAGTGACACCGCCTCCCTTCTGCTTCTTTGAACAAGATGCTCCCTCTCTATGCCTGGAATGCTCTTCTCCCCTCTCTCCTGCACCTCATGGCTTCCTTCAAGTCCTGCTTACAATCTATCTTCTCCAGGAAGATGCCTGATTCCCCTTCATGCCAGTGCCTTCCCTCTGTTCATTATTTCCAACTGATCATGTATAGTTTGTTTGCATGTCGTCTCTCCCATTAAACTGTACGCTCCCTGAGGGCAGGGACTGTCTTCTGCCTTTCTTTGTATCCCCAGCCTTAGCACAGTGCTTGGTACATAGTAGGTACTTAATATTTATTACTGAGACAGGAAATATTAAAACAAAAGCAAAAGATTAAAAAAAAATGAAAGTATAAGACATTTCATATATAAAACAACCGACCTGAAAAATACATTAAGGAGAGATAATTTAAGAATCACTCAAATATCTGAAAAAGGAGCCTAGATATCTTTTTTTTTTTAATTTTGTCTTTCTATCTCACTCAGGCTAGAAATGTAGCAGCCACTCACAGGCCTGATCCCAATATTGATTAGAATCCTTGACCTGCTCCGTTTTCCCAACTGGGATTGGTTTGCTCCTCCTTAGGTACCCTGGTGCTCCTCCACTCCAGGGAGCTCACCACATCGGCACCAGACTTAGTGTGGACATCTGATCAGCTCTAACCCAACTGTAGCTTAGAACTCCCAAATTCAAGGGATTCACTAGTCTCCGCCTCCCAGCAGCAAAGATTCTAGGTGTGTGTTACCACACCAGCATTATATTGTAAGAAATCGTAAAATAAAACTGCCCAAATCTCTTAAAAACAAAGGACAACATGAAAATAAAATCTACCAGTCACCTCTTGAAAGGAACCTCAAAATAAAAACTCTCAGGAATATTATAGATCAAAATATTGTAAATAGCCAGAAAGAAATCACCCAGCATTTTGTAGCCCTCACTCTGAAGAGCTCAACAAGGCAAAGGACCTAAGCTTAGATTCCAGCGTATCGTACCCAGTAAAATGGAGTAGGATTCCACAGAGGAAAGCTAGACCCTTAATGACAGGAAGCAAAGGAAGCAAGGAGGCAACAGTTAGGAGGGGGAGAGGTAGAGTCGGGAGGCAGAGCATCTGGATAAGAGGAGGTGGAGGAGACTAAGGTGTACAAGACTGATCGCCTGGTCAGACCAGGCCCAGGGCACTCTGCTCTCTTCAGGGGAAGTGGCCGGCGAGACTATGAAACGCTTTGTTAAAGAGGAAAGCCCACTCTAGCTGCACCATTCCCCAAGCCACTATCTAGTCACTGTCAATAAAGGGCATTAAGTGTATCCAGCATGAAGCCATTCTGATTATTTGTGAGCACTGACTCCTCTCTAGAAGTGCACTTTTTATAATTTTGCAGGCAATCACGGTATAACTCACTCAATTAAAGCTTGCAGACTACATTCTCCTACCTGTTTCTATCATCTAAATCCTGAAAATCAGGAACAGCCCTCTAATTTTGCGGGACTTCTTGTGCTCTATAAGATCTTTCAAAATACTTAAGAATTCTTTAAGAATTATAAGGCATTTAAAGAAAAATAAGCTGAAATTTCTATGTGATGCAATTAAGAGGAATGGGAATAGAAATAGAAAAGTTACTTGTTAAACACCTACTATGTGCCAGCACTGGGGTAAGAAGCACTTTATAAATATTCTGGCATTTGGTCCTCACAACAACCCTGTGAGGTAGGTGCTAACACTATCCTCATTTTACAGTTGAAGAAACTGTGGCAGAGAGAGGTTAAATGATTGCCCAGGGTCATACAGCTAGTAAGTATCTGAGGGTGGATTTGAACTCAGGTCTTCCAGACTCAAGACTCAGCACCCAATTCACTGCGCCCCCTCCTAGCTGTCTCAAAACAAACCAGAAATGTCTAATAATTATTCATAAGAAAATCCATAAGAAAAGTAGGAAAAGAAACTAGTAACCTAGTCATATTTTCTGTCTTCCTTTTACTGGAGTGAAGAACAATGCATTATTCACAGAGACGACTTCTTCCCTCCCTTCTAGAAGGGAGCTTCAGAATATAATCAAGACAGGAAGCTCCCTAGACTGTATTTCAATCATTCCATTCTAACACCTAAGTATTGAAAAGCTGCTATGTGCAAGGTACTGAGCTATGGAACAGGGAGACAGATAACAACAAGTCCTCTTCTCAAGAAGGTTATCTTCTAGTCGCACAATAAAAAGGGAAGCATGAGGGACCGCTTTTAATTTACTTCCATGCTCCAAGGATCTACCTCTTCATTGCTGCAAAGTCTCTAGTGCAGATCACAACCCCTTCAATACCAGTCGTTGTTACCACGGAGTCAGATCTCTAGAGGATTTCTCAAACTCAGGAATTTCAAGCTCTAAAATTCAAACTAAGTCCAGCATCAACACAATGAGTCCCTGGGAGTGGATGGCCCCAGGGCGAGGAGAGAACTGTACTGAAATCACGTCCATGAGCAGGCTCGGACCTTTTGGTGTGGGCACCACAGGGAGACCCAGAGACAGGAAAGGTGATGGCCAAAAACTCATCACCCAGCAGCCAATCTAGGGATGAGCCTCTCCAAACTTGGCTAAGCTCGTTCTCAGACAACTGACATATGCCCCAAGCCCTTCCATCATGATAGGAAATTGTACTGGAACACCTCATCATCCACTATCAGGTGATACATTTTTTCTGGCCACAACAATTCATCTACTAGGACAGCAGAGAGGATATGTCAGCTATCGTTAAAGGTATTTGCAACAATGAAATGGCAGATCTAAGCTGAAACAATGAAATGAAGTTTAGACACACTAGCACGCTACTAATGGAGCTGTGAATTGGTTCCACCTTTCCAAAAAGAAAGATAAATTCTGCACTGAGTTTTAATAAAGTTCAGACATCTCGATCCAATGATCCTACTACTTGGATTACATACTAAGTTAGTCATAAACAGGAAAAAGAAAAGACCTATATATACAAAAAATAAATGTTCCTAGAAGCACTATTTGTAGTAGCAAAACTCTAGAAATAATAATAAGTTACAGTATACAAATTCTCCATAAGAACCAATAAATATGAAGAATTCAAAGAAATGTGGGAAGACTTAAATGAATTGATTGAAAGCAAGAAAACAAATATAAGGTGGCAACTGGACAATTAAACAGAAGCACAAGAGCAATAAATACATGTCAAGAAAACAGAAGAGATGTGGAAGAGAGCTCAGGGCCCCAAACATACCAACACATCTGCCTTTCATTCCAGGAGCCAATGAGCATTTGTCAAGTGCTTCATGGGCAGGTTTAATAATCAGTAAATAACACGTTCAATCATTTATAATGGTTTTATCATTGTATTTTCCCTGGTTCTTGTTTGTATTTCTGAATGCTTATACTTGTCCATGGAACTTAAAATGTATTTTTATTAAATGGCTAGGATCCACCTCTGACACCAAGTGATATTCTGGGGAGTAAACAATGGCACAGTTCGGTACAGTAACTGAGAACTGAAAGGACTATGCAAAGGACATTAATACTTAGAATACATCTTCTCATTTGGACAAAATTGCCACTTCAGGAGAAATTCTCAGGGGAAAGTAAACCCACACGTTTAAACAACTGAGTCTGATTTAGTTCATCAGTGGGTTGTCAAGAGCCCTATCGTTATCATTATTATTATTAGTATTACCATTATTATTATTTAATATGAGTGATAAACTTAAGACAACAGCTCCCATTTTAAAATTTTACAATTAGGGCAAATCACAGCCCCTATGGCCCTCAGTTTCCTCAACTCTCAAACAAAGATAAGCTGGACTGAGTAATCTCTTCCGTTCCTCTCAGCTTTAAGTTATTCTGTCTATGTTAGGCTATGTTTAAAACTCAGGTGTCCACAGAATCAGCTAAATTTACACTTCAAACATGCACCTTTTGCTTTCTTCTCCAGACTCTCATCCAGTGTCCCATTACTTTCTGTTTAATTACTCCCGCACCCCCAGACAGCATAATTCTTTTTACTTAAAAGCAAACCCACCAAACTGGATCAGATTAAAGCTGCTTCTCTTCCCAGCTTATTTACCTTTTTCTCAGGTGGTGTTTGTGAAGCGTGGTCCTGGCACTCCTTGACCTCTGCATCAGCGAGCAAGGGTTCTGCGGCTGCTGGTTTATTATCAGCGGTGGATGTGCTCTGAAGTGACTTTGCCTGGGAAAAGGTCAAAGAAGGAATGCTGTGCTCTGAGGCACCATCTCTGACCTGGTCAGTCAAACCAGAATGGAATGTTGAGCCCCTAGAGGTCTCGTCATTTTGGAGAGGTTCCCGTTTCTTGGGTAGGTCATTCATGTTATACTTCTCCTCTCTGAGCATTTCAGCAACTCTTCCACTGGATATAATACCATTTTCACTGAGCTGCAGACCTTTAATATTGGTGTCATCCTCCATAACTGCATCTGTCCTAAGCACACTGTCCTTAATTGATGCCAGAGGCTGAGAAGCTTCACCTAGACTTGGATAATTACGTGAAATATCATAACGTACGATATTTAGCAAAGTAGGAGAATAAGTGTGAGTTAGTGGTGAAACTCTAGAAGTACACGTGCTTACATCTCGGTCATCTGAAGGTGACTGTGATTTCCAAACAGCAAGGTTTCTTGGGTTAGGGCTGGCTAATTCTTCATTTGGGGAAACAAAAGGAAGCTGAAGTTCTGAAGCAACGGGAGCTGACCTCGGCGATGCTACCGGAGCGAGACTTTGGACTGGAAACACCGAAGGAGTTAACTGATAGGTTGGCTGAGTTAGTTGCCCTGGCACAGGTCTTTCCGTTTGAGAACTCAAGGGAGAAATGGTTTGTTTCCAGTCTGATCTAACACCGAATAAATCCTGAACAGCAGCAGAGCTGTTTTCACTTGCTATCGGCTCTATGGAAGCCACAACCTCGTGGAATGCCGTAGCCTTATTAGCATCAAGACCTTCCTTTGGGCCTGGTTTTGGCAGGTCATCCAACTTAAATCTAACAGAACGAAACAACACCAGAAAACCCCGTTCTAGTGCAGTCGCCGTGTGCTGACAATTCTGCAGTATTCACGTCAGAAGCTAGAGAGTTCTGCACAGGCTGGCCTTGTGAAGACACAGGGAACAAGGAATGCGACATAAACTTAGAAGAAAGCTCTCCTTTAAAAGGTGGACAGCATACATCCTCCAGCCTTTTAACTTTGCCTTCATCTGATTTCAAACAATCAAGCTTGGGGCTGAGCTTATATTCTTCTAGGTTCTTATAATTAAAACTCTCACAAAAAGAGCGATCTGAAAATGAAGAAACACCTAGTCTATTTTTCTCTAAGCAAGGAAGGAGGGAAGAATTTGAAAGTCTGCAGTCCAAAGGAGAAGGGCCATCACCTTCAAGCATGCTCTGGCCCAGTGTGGCTGGAAACGTTTCTGGCTTCTGGGAAGTTTCCCGCCTCCTGAGTGACACATGAGAAGCAAGAGTTTCAACGCTGTCTGCTCCACGTGATCTGGAAAACTCATCACATGCATCAGGTGAAGAAGCAGACTTTTCGTTCACGTCAATACACACTTGTTGACGAGGATAACGTAGACACATACCGCTGGTATCATAAGAAGCGACAGTGCTGATCCCGACTGCCTTACAAGGATATGCACCGGAGTAGCTGTTGCAGAAGTCAGAGGGCCCTTCAGAGGAGGAGGACGGAAACAAGGCTTCACTGACTTGTGACCGTCTGGAATGCAATTCTGAAACTTCAGACAGATCAGGAATCCCCCTGATAATACATTATGGAAAATAAAAAGGGGTGAGCAGGAAAATATTTTCTTTTCAAATATGAACCCAGACTATCTATCTCATAGGGTCAGAGGTAAAAAGAGGCAGTAGGGAAAGGACCCCAGGGACCAGCTAGTCCAGTCCCTTCCTGTCCAGGCAGGTCAAAAGCCTCCCCCAAAGTCCCATCAGCCACAAGCCACTGAGCCAGGACTAGAACCTGGGGTCTCTGACTAGATCCCAACTCTCTTCTCCACCTTTCTCTAAGCCGTCTCTACAGTGAGAATCATACACATAATAAATAGGGGCTATATTGTAAATATGCTCAAAAGGACACAATGCCTTCCTGCCTTCACCTCAAGACCCTTTAAAATACTGATTAATTCAATGGGACCCATCATTTGTAAACAGTGACTGCTACTCTACAAACTACCTTTTTTTTAAGGCCTCCCCTAAAACAAGGGAGTCAAGATGCTTAGCTTAATTTTTGCAAACTCTGATTCTCTATATTGAAGAGAAATTCAAACTGAACCTTCAAATTATAGTACCTAAAATTTTTACCACTATAAGCTAATATTAATTCAATTCAATTTAATATACATTCATTCAACAAGCACCTATATTCCTGTTTTCACAAAACAGAGAATCTAGGATTGGACAAAAACCAGAGATTGTACAGTCTATTCTTTATTTCTTTTCAAAATAAAGAAATTCTCCCATTTTAAACAACTGTCCAGTTTCCTTTGTAAAAGAAACATTAATTCATCTGTTATCTTACAAGAACATAGACTTTATTGAAATATAACAACACACATCTAGATTTATCTTTTTCTAAAAACAGGTGGTACTCTCAAAAAAAAAAACAGACATTATGCAATGAGCTTATGTAGCCAAAGCCCAGGGGCAGCAACCGAGAGCCCACTATGTATAAAGAACCTCTCCAGGGACTGCAAAGTAAGGAAATTCATCTGCTTGTGCTGAGAGGTTCTGAAGGGGGAGCTCCAAGAACGTGTAGGGCATTGCGGCAGTAACACTCTCCCAAACAGATAGAGAGACACACACAAATGGTGTCTACTTCACAGCAACTGCTTGGAAGGAGCACATTTACTGGGTACAGATATCCACACTTTAAATAATGTTGTCCTCCTAAGTCAGAGAGACACTTCACAGCAGATGAGAAGAGGGAGATGACTCCACTTGTCTCCTACAGGAGGAAAGGATCTGTCCCAACCAGATGACTAGTCATCAAACGAAGCTTAAAGGGAAGAGCTTCATAGGAAAAACCGCAGTGAGCTTGGAACTAAAGAAAAGCCTGAAAAACTGAAAAGAAACACAAATTTTTGTTTTCTTTTCAAATCTAAAGTTAAGAGACATTTCTTTTCATATTTTGGATTGGTCATTTTCTAAGTTACGACAAAACTTATTTGAGCCTATATTATCCACAACAGCGAAAATGATAATTGACTAAATGTTGAATGTTTCCTTAGGCCCAAGTTACTAATATCTGTTCTTAAAAAAAAAAATCTACTAGGAAAACCCATAGCTCTCAAGAGCAAGGAAAAAAACAGGAAAAAAGCTATAAGAAAAGCCATCTTACCTCAGAGGCATGAACTCCAGCTCGCTCTGCTCAAACAGAGTCTCATTCCAAACCTTGTGGGTTGGAGATGATGCCAGCAAAGGGACACAGGGGGAGCCACTCGTGTCCTCAATGGCTGCAAAGTTGGATAACACAAAAATATTAGCAGATACTAAAGATGGTCATTAGTTATTAAACAGTTCTTTATGAATCTCAAGACCCTGCCATGTGACAAAATGTTTTCACGGAAAGGAAGGTCACTTGTGGTTTAAAGTCATGATCCACAAATCCAGATTTGGTTATAGTTCAAAAAGAACCTTAAACTGAAAACACATAAGAAGCCACAAAAATGTCGTTATTAACTAGCAATTTTTGGAAACAAAAAAGAAAAAGTCCTAAGAATAACAGTGTATTTGACTATACAGAATTAGAATATTATGATGAATAACATCATGGTGATAATAGGAACATAAAACACACACACACTGACAAATGTTAATTCCCAATGGATAATGAAGTCTTCCACATGCTCCTGTTTCGGGATGACATCATGCTGGATATAGCAAGTCCCAGAACACTGCAGCGCCTCCTAGATGAGATACAGAACAAAACAAAAGAGTTTTCCCCAATTGTATGCACAGAAAAAACCAAGTGAATAAAGACCGCCTTCCGCCCAAATGCAGATGTCAATGATACACGTGACAGACAACACTGGGAGCTCATGTACTGGTGTCTACACACGTGTGTGTCTTTATATTTTGGATAGACTGCAAAAAACTAGGGCCAAAATTAAACAAGAGGAAGAGGGAGGCAGTAAGTGGCACAGTGGACTTGACCCTTATTAGCTGTGTGACCCTGGGTAAGTCATTTAATCCCAACTGCCTCACAAAAATAAAATAAATAAACAATTGAAATTTTAAAAGAGAGTGAGCTGAACAGCCTTTGAGACATTGCCAAGCTTCTTTAATGGTTCCTGCCCCAAAGGCCCAGCCCTTTAAAACCAATACTCTCCTAATACTATGATGTCAGTCCTTGATCATTAAAGATGAAGTGATAATGTACATGGTAGAGGTGAACCAAGAAGAAATGGAACAAACAAGAAAATACAAGAGTAAAAAATGTGAAGAAGTAAATCTGTAACCCAAAAAGACAATAGGCTGGCCACATAAGGAGAGGGAAATGGACAACTTGTATCTTTACCAAACCACAAGAAGGTAAATAAAGCTCATTGTGTTTGTCCTTCATTCTTGAAGAGAACCATGACATCAGGGAGTTGATGACATAACTTGCAAATGACTTTGATTTGAGTGTGGGAGGGCTGTGTAAGATCACCAGCCTCACTTTCTCCTCCAGAGCCATCTGGGTCCAGGGGCCAGATACAGATCAGGATGACTGGAGGTGGTCCTGGATGCAGTGGGAGACCCTGGCCTTCTTAAGCTAAGGTTTTCACAAATTCTCACTCTGAGTGAGACAACACCCATTCAGTGAATAGGCTTCTTTAAGGAGTGAGTCAAGGGATGGCCCCTTTAATTAAAAAAAGAAATCAAACTGGGAGGGAAAGACCCTCAGGGTTGCTCATCAAAAGAGAAACAGTCTCTATTAACACAAGGACAGAAATCTTGACCAGCACAGGCAGCAGAGGAAATGGAAAAGTGAAATTTGCACTACACTCCCTCCTGGAGAGGAGGGAAAAGAGAGTAGAAAAGCACCTCTCCACACTTCACGCTGGAAGGGAGAATGAATTATTCTCTTTTTTTTCTCCTCATTCTGATGATCAATGCATATTTTTTCCCATATTATGCATGCTCAAAAAAAGTAAACACACAATATACAAAGAAAGAAAAAGGAAGAAAGTTTAATTTAAAAAAAAGTCTGCTTCAATCTGCACTCACTGTTCAATCAGTTCTTTCTTTGGAGGGAGACAGCATTTTTCATCATGGACCACTACATTCATCCGAGCAGCCAAGTCTTTCACAGTTGATCATCCTTAAAATATTGCTGTTACCGAGTACATTATTCTCCTGGTTCTGCTCACTTCATTTTGCATCAGTTCATATAAGTCCGGGTTTTCCTGAAGTCATCCTGATTATTACTTCTTAATAGCACAAGAGTGAGAATGAAGTTATTTTTAATGGAAACAGAAGAAAGGCTTCACTTGATCAACAAGAAGTCTGAGACAGAGGAGGGAAACATAGCCCTCATAAGCATTTGGAAGAGTGGGTGAGAGCTCCACCAAGGAGAAATGGCAAAAAGAGGACATCTGTATCCTTGGAGCTGCTGCAGAGAAGATGCAAGGTCATGATGGAAAGGTCCAAAGAAGGCCTCCTCCTTTTAAAGGAGGTCTTGGAGGGCACACTTCCATCCATCCAATTGAAAGGGCAGAGAGTGCTGATGGCATGTAAAGACCAAGGCTAATTCCATCTGTTGTCTTGGTAACAAACAGAGGTCTGCTGCCTTCCCAACGCACGTATCTAAGAAATAACATAGAATCTAGACTTCTCAGAATAGATGAAAACTACCCACTTCTGATGATTCATGTGGGTACAAGTCATACTGTCAGTAGTATCATGAGTGATTATGAAGTCTTGGGCGAGAAACTGAAGTCTATAGGACTAAAGTCATTTTCTTCACCAAGGCCAATTGAAGGCAAGGACAGGATGGAGTAGAGTCTTAGAATGAAATCTGGAGTACTTATTAGTATACATTCTTATATGAACATACCGGTCTGCATGCTGTCTCCTCCATTAGAATGTCTCTCTCCTCTCTCCCCTCCCCCACTGATTATTCCTGAGACAATCACCATGGATTTGCCTTTCTTCACATCCTCAATGCTTTGCACAGTGCCCAAACACAATAAATACTTAAATGCTTGTTGACTGACCGACTCCCGGACCACAGTTTAAAATAAAGGGATGACAGATTACTGGCCAGAGAAGAAGTATACATAACACAGTCTAGTAAGAATAAGATACCATAAGAATATATACAAAGAAGGAAGAACAGCAGTTGAAACACCTAGAAATTCGTGAGACAAAATAAAAGAATAAGCCAATAATAAAACATAGTTTCAAAAAGTCTGTACGCAAGTGCCCAAACTTTAAGTAATAAACAAGAGGAAAGACAGAGACTAAAGCAAAGAAGCAAAACCATGGCGGTCCAGGAAAATCTTAGGAGAGAAAACACTTTCAGTCATGGAGCCAAGGAAAGGCTGTATAAAAACAGCACCTGCTGAGGGTCTTAAAGAATAGTATTCTGAAAGGCACAGACAGAAAGGGAATACACTCTAGGCATGAGGCAGTGTGCATAAATACAGAGGTAGGAGGAGCGCGTTTATTTTGGGAAACAGGTAAGTAGTCCAGTTTGTCTGGAAGTTCAGAGCTTTCAGAAGAGTAATATGAATCAGTCTAGAAAGTGAACTATACTGCAGAAGTGTTAAACACAGCAAGCAAGCCACATGCCGCCCACAACACTACCAAGGGCTGCCCAACTCAGAGTCAAAAGAAATAAAAATACAATAGAAGAGATATAATTATATTTTAAAACTAAGTCAATACGTGGCTAGCAGGTACCTTATGTATGGATCAGCGGCCTCCATTCCTACATGGCGTCACTGCAGGAGAAGACACTCAGAATGCAGCAAGCCTTCAAGTACGAGGCTCAGGAGCTTGTACTGGGGCCTAAAGGTTTTCAGGCAGGGGAGTGACTCAGGTGGTGAGCATTAGGAAATGTACTCGGGCAGATGGATGAAGCATAAATGGGAGAGGAGAGGTGGCTGACAGTACCCCAATAACATTGATAGCATCCCCCCTAGGCTTTGTCCTGGGCCCTCCTCTCTCTTCGTGACCTCATCAGCTCCTTAGATTTAATTATCATTTCCAGGTAGATGATTTCCAGATCTGTTCATCAAGTTCCACTTTCCCCTGAGCTTCAGTCCCATGTCATCAGCTGCCTTTTGGATGTTTCAAACTGGATGTACTAAAGACATTCAAATTCAACATGTCTAAAACCGAATCTTCTGAGCTTCCCTATTTCTGCTGAAGGCTCCTCAGTCAGTCAATAAACATTTATTAAGCATCTACTTTGTGTCAAGCACCGTGCTAAAGTGCTGGGGCTATGTTGTTTGATCCTTTCAGTCACGTCCAACTCTTCGTGACCCCTTTGAAGGTTTTCTTGGCAAAGATACTACAGAATTTTGCCATTTCCTTCTCCAGCTCATTTACAGATCAGGAAACTAGGACAAACAGGGTTAAGTGACTTGCCCAGGGTCACACAGCTAATAAATGTCTAAGGTCAGATCTGAACTCAGGAAGATGAGTCTCCTGGCTTCAGGAGACTCTGCTCCAGCTAGCTGCTGGGAATATAAAAAGAGGCAAAAGAGAGTCCTTGTCCTCAAGAAGCTTACAATCTAATGGAAGAGACAACATGCAAATAAATACGTTCAAACATAAAGCCAGACCTCCTTAAAGAAAAACAAAACCACATGGGGAAATTACTTCAAGGCCAGAATCTTGGGCAAGTTAATATTGATGAAAGATCCAAAGTACTTCTGAAGACTTTGTGGAAAAGAATGAGAATCTTGAGTGACATCTTTCTTTCTTCCCAGATACAAAGGACCTACAACCCAGAGCTCTTCCACAGTGAGTCTTCCTGAATTCTTCTCTTTACTAATGAATTCTTCAATTAGGTCCAAGATACTGCCAGAGCTCTGTCTTGTCTCAGATGAAGAAGCGACCCTTCTCCATTCAAAGAACGCAAAACTACACAATTCATACTATTCCATCCTGTCTTCTCCTACTCCTTCATCATTCTTCAGTTTCTCCCTGTGTACTAGCTGCCTCCTTACTGTCTACAAGCATGCCCACTCTTAGTCTGTCCATCCCCACTACTTTTTGGCATTCCACTGTTTCAGTCATGTCCAACTCCTCGTGACCCCATTTGGGGTTTTCTTGACAAAGATACTAGAGTGGTTTTTCATTTCTTTCTCAAGCTCATTTTACAGATGAGGAAACTGATGGAAACAGAGCTAAGTGACTTGCTATTAAGCGTCTGAGGGCAGATCTGAACTCAGGAAGACGAGTCTTCCTGACTTCAGGACCAGCACTTTATCCACTGCGCCACCTAGCTGCCCTGCCAGTT